CATACAAGTCTGGATAAAGGTTTCAGTCAAAACACCTCTTCACATCATAGAATGGTCTTAAAATGGTACACAGAAAACACAGCAAGAAGACATTAAATCTGTTACTCACTTCAAAGTACGCTGATAGTTATTTACAATCTTAGCAGAGGGCTTCAGGGAAAGCAGATCATTGACCAAAACAAGGAACAATACGTGCTCCAACTGCAGTATTTGCATGCAAATATTGACACTGAAAAAACCTCAAAAAACCCAGAACTAAGAAAACTCACATAGAAAATGTCACCAATACAAGAACTTAGAGGAGAAATTGATTTAAGGCCAACTGAGGTCTGAATGGCAAATGCACAGCAGCAAGTACACTTACTCTTCACATCAGAAGCACAAACCCAAAATCTATTTAGTGTCACCCACCACAAAACTCAAAATCAGGATCAAAGACCTGTAATGGAAAGAACAGAAAAGATCTCACAGAGTTCAGCAGTGACTTGAAAATGTGAATTTAGTAACAGAGCCATGTAGAAAAATTTTCTACTTGGAAAGATGAAGAATAAAACAGACAGAATATCAGTACAGGAAAATAAAAAAAAAAAATCCATGATCCTCTCAAGCATCTCTCTGATACAGCTGTTCGCTGAAGGTGGTTATTTCTGTAACTCTATGTTTGTAAACAAATGTCTTTAACTGAAAAGCATTAACAAGTACAGATACAATATTTAAACACATGAGAAGCAAGCCTAAGACCAACATCATCCTACAGTAAAATACTTTCTTATACTTAAAATTTTATCACAGACTCCAAAATGCATTAGGAAAAAGACTTTGCATCTTATGAGCCCTGGAAAATTTTCCAGGAGACCATTTTCCAACATAAGAACTACCACATCTAACAGAGCCTGAAAAGTTTTACCACAAGGTCGTGAATTTCATCAGAGAACCATTTTAATCTTGTATTACCCTAACCTACCCAGAAAAAATGGAACAAAGCCATTGCTTAAGGTTTTTCATAGGATTTTTCCATATTAACATAGTTAATAGGACTACAGAAATCCTTTTGTCTAAATTTAATGTAGATTTTATTTTACCAAGTCATAAATATCAACCCATACATGGGAACAAATCTAAGCAAAGCTGGGAACTAAAAGAAAACAGCCTGATATTGCAATGTATTCCCTTCCCCTATCTTAAGTAATTTCACCAGTACTCCACTGTTTTAAAATCACATTGCAATCAAATTCAAGCTGTTTGGGAACAAAAGGAAAGGGAATGGTGATTCAAAAAGGAGCTTTATTTAAAAAAAAAATCTGTAATTACATTTGATCCACAAGGGATGATACTCTTTAACCATTTATCTTCCTGCCTAATAAACCAGAATTCTCCAACTCTGTTACTGAGCCACAGGAATCCTGACTTGGGGACCCTCTTCCAGGACACTCAGGCCTCCACCTGATTACACACTGTGCCCAAAACTGTACCATTGGTGGAAAGAGAATTTTTCACATTAAAAGGCCACACACTGACTCCCAATAATGTATTTTCTGCCACTTCATCCCCTGACCTGCTCAGTGGTGGCTAAAAATACTCAGCAGCTGCAGTTGTGCTTTGAGCAACTGGTCTGAAGTTCTGGCTGTATCACAGGTGATTGCTCAAAGAAATTTTCTTGAATGAAAATACAGACAGCATTTTAAGAACTGTATAAAAACCAGAACAAGCATATTACTAGCCTTATTAAAAAATAAATAGTTCAACAAAATATCTTAACAATGCCTTGGACCTCCTTTGAGCACACAACATAACTGAGACGATCGGATGCAGAGGGGAGAAGCTGTTACTATATACAGCCTGGCCACTACTATATATGATCACCCATTACTAATGCTTTAAAAAATGATGTTAAGACTACTACTTTGCATGCACAAAAAGTTAGAATTCAGAAGATAAGTCTAAAATTTGCATTCCAAGGAAGCACCCATGCAGAACAAGGATTTAATGCTTGCTGTTGGATATCTATACCTCCAATCTAGGAGCCATGTATATTTAAAACCAGAAAATCCAGCTATGCTCTCATATGCAGAACATTAGTGCATCAGTCTTGGATTGTAATACGAGTACAACAGTTCATTGGACAGATCCCCAATTACTCTGACCACGTCTTGTACAGAACACTGAGCTGTACTCCATGCAAAATGAAACACTGTCAAACTCCTTAAATCAACGTCATAAAGTCACTGTTCCCTATACATCCCAATTCAATCGGCCGAGAGACAGCTCTTTGGTACAAACCAGTAGTCAAGCTCAGGCATCTTTGCTACAAGTGGTCTAGTACTGCGTTTCCATCAAAAATCAAATGCAAACGTCAGCTTCGGCATTTCCACCGATCACAATCTGTGACTAGAAAGAAAATTTTCAAAGATTTCCAAAATCTTGTGACTTCACTGTAAGTATAGCATGCACATGTTCTTCATAAGACACTGTTTATATGAAGAAGTGATACTGTGCCTAGCCTCCAATTCTAAACATCCTAGGACAAATAATTTGCAGAAAAAATTGACAAGCAGAGGATAAAAACCAGTGGTTAGCTTTTCAGCTCATTCCTTTTCTTCCCTTAACTTGCTTACCTGACATCAGTTTAGCAACAGTGACTTACAACCTGTCGTTCTTCTACACTAATATCATTAAGGGAGCCTCTAACATCCGTATTACACTGTAATAAAGCAAAGTCTTCAATGTGTAATGCCTCTAAATCAACCAGGCATTCCTGAAATTATTTAATCCACAAAGTCAGTACTCACCCACCCTACTTTACCACTACCAATCACTTCACAAGAGTAGCAGCATTATCCAGATGCATTCAAGAGCCGAGTTTTAAAATTTGTTTCCAGTCTACTATTTCAGTGAGGGTGAAGTGGAACAACAGAATTAATGTCAATCTGATTTTCAATTGCATTACATTCAGCCACTTCTAAAACAAATATACACAGGAAAAGAAATATAAAATAAACCCCCTTGCAATTCAGGTATTAAATTATTCCTCTCCCAACAGAGCGTTACTTACCTGCAACTCTGTGTTCTATAGGCTTTCTTCTCCCCATCCCCTGCCCCAGTAATTCTCATACTGGACCACACTTAATTACCTAAGCACATCAACATGGATACATTTCTGGAGGACTAAAATATATATTCTACCAAATCGTAGTCATAAAAAATACTCATTAATTCTAAGCAAAAAAAAAAAAAAAAAAAAAAAGCATAAATACTCCCACTATAATTTATTCAATTTCCATTATTTGTGAATGAGAACTAGAAGCATCATAAGAATCTTATATTCTTGATGCAATCACTTTCAAATAACAGCCCAGACCTAACAGAATAGATACATTATAGCAAACAACACAGATGTATAGTGACTACTGAGGTTAGCTCCATTTTACAGCATTTAATCTTCGTATTTAAATAGTTTGCTATTTATATATTGACTTGTGTATGAGCTTTGCTTGATCCATGTATACAAAGTTCACATTTTTATTAAAATTTGCTATAAGCAGTGGAACACAGAGCTTCTTAGCAATGATATCTTACAGAACTGGGACACTTTTTGCCATTACAGTCAGATTTTTTTTTTTTCTTTTTTGGCCTAGTAAACTAAATGCATTCTTTTTACAAGTCTTGAACTATGCAGGTTCAAGAATAGACAAGGGATGTTAAATTTCAGTGTCTCAACATGAACAAATCATCCCAAACTAAATATTTCCAATGAGTAGAGCAAGTAATCAGAACCTATGGCTCAAGATGGTGATGTGATTGCCTTTAAGATGATTTAAATGACAGAGGCAGTGTTTTCCAACTCATCCATTTGCTTCCCTCAAAGTTAATATTCTCTTTGGCCAGCAGATGTAGATGATAAACTCAAGCTGGCAAAAGGAGGGCGGGGTGGGGAAGGAGAGACAAACATCTTCTAAAAAAGGAGGAGGAAGAGGGATTTGGTATTTGTTATTTCCAGAAGACTGAACCATCACGGTCACCTGTAGAGTAGGCCACAATAAAGCAGAAATGTTTTTTCCTTCACAAGCATCACTTCAATGAGTCTCACAATTTTTTGGCTATTTGAAAACTAGCTGAAAACACTGCAGATTTTAGCACATTTGAGGGGAAAAAAAAAAAAAAAAAAAGAAAATAAAAAACCCACTACACCTCTTACTCTAGATTTCACGAGCTTTGTATCTTTCCACATCATTAACAGATATATTTGGTTACATGTAAACATTCAGCAAATATCTACCAGTGTTCTGTACTCTGTAATAGTATCATATATTCAAAAAGCAGTGATACATTTACAAAGAAAAGATACCACTTTCACAAGACCTGAAGAACACAGAAGAGAGACCCTTAGCACTCAGGTCTAAACAAAGTTGAAGCTAAGAGGGGTTACAAAGAAGGTTTGGTGACAGAATGGTTATTCTAAACATTCTGTGGATTCTCCTGACCCTTTAAAAAAAAATCTGCCACCTGGCTCAAAATCACTCCTAACCTAGCTTCTCACTGGTTTCACTGGCAGTGCAGGTCCCCTACCACTAACAAAAAACAAAGAGGAAAAACCCAAGTACAGCCAAGCCCATGAGGGCATGTTATCACTGCCTAGAGTCACTAAGCAACAGTTCCATAAATATGCAAACCTAAAAAAAAGAGAAAATTTTAGTCTATTGGAAGATAGACTGTAAACATGAGATAGCCAGGTAACCAAATGACAAACTATTATCTGACAGCCTTGAAAGCCTCTCCATGTGAACTGTTTTTAAGCCAACTTGTAATAAATACCACATGCAGCTATTTAAAAAAAAAAAAAAATCCTAAGCCAAGTTAAATAGTAACCAACGTTCAAATTTAACTATATGAAGTCTACATTAAAATCCAAAATGACAATTACAAAATATTATATTACTATGAACACTGTCAAATGCTTTGAATAATAGCACACTAAGGAAATAAGTAAAAACACACTTTACCTTGTATCTCATTTTGGGGCATGAATGAATGTAGAAACCCATATAATAAAAACAGAGATCAGGAGCTTTTTCATGGAGTTGCCTAGTAAAAGCAATTTCCCTGTGAAAGGAAAGAAAAGACTAATTACTTTTGAATACAATTCTTACATTCATTTTACCTCTTCATACTGAAATATTTTACAGCTACCTGGCTCTTGACCTATTTAAAGGACTAGACCTATCAAATTAAAAAAAAAAAATGAATAAACTCAAAACTAATGCTTAAAAAAACCCAAAGATAATAAACTGACAATAAATGTTTAAAACCAACCAAACAAATCACCAAAATACAAAACAACATGTCAGGTTTAAAAATACTTTCATTTTTGTGTTTTGTCCTGCCAATTAACTGACTTGAAATTCAAAAGGTGACTAAGAGCCTCTATTTAACAGGCGGTTTCTTCATATTCATGTACATTGGAATTCTACAGATATCTGGCCCAGCTATTGTACATAGACTGGCTAATGTGGCTCAGGAAAACATCAGAGTATTTTTAAAAACAGGGATATGCTTCTTGTTCGTTCTATTATTTGTGTTCTAGCAATTTACACGTAAAAACATCCCTCTTTATGCAACAAAAGGAATTTTTCACCCATTCCATGTTTGACTGTATGATCGTCTCATTTATTCTGAAAGAGCAGTGTCAACGTATTCCAAAGTAAGTTTTCTTTTTATTTTATTGGCACAAAGAAAGTAGTATTATTACAAAGTTTCAGCCAGTATTTCCACTACAACACATTGTAACAACATTTGTAACTTTACAGTTCACTTTTGTAACAAACTTGACAAAACATGGATGTTGGTTCTTACCTTCTTGTCCCTTCCACATTGAAAGTATGGGCACATGCATTTAGGAGGCATGTATAAATACTGGGATTTTTTAATCACTTAATATGAAGTTAGTAATAAGGATGTTTAAATGTACTGAAAACCCAACATTTCAGCTGCATGTAGTTTGCAGAGACCATCACGAGTTCGCTAGAACTCTCTATCTAGATACATCCTTTCAAAAAGAAGAATGTCTAGAAATAAATTACTCCGTATCTGAAAATCCAGGTACACACAACAGATTCCCGAAATGAGATTTACAAACTACCAAAAACGTATAAGCATGCACTTCATATACATACTTTTTAAGACATGGCATGAATCTTACCATCCCATGCTGATCATCCTGGACCTAATTAAAGAAATACATTTCTGCAATTCAAAAAGCTGGAACACTACAGGGAAAAATATTGTCTTTGCATTTCAAAATCTCTTAAACACTCTTTCCAACTGGGCTACACTATCTGATCTAATAAAACAAGACGACTCAAAGTGAAAAGAAAGTGAAGCAAATAGACCATACTGTAATGAGGTAAAAATTGGGCTCCAGCAGCAAGTCTTACCATGGGCAAGAAAGCTTTGTGCAAGCAAAGTGTATGTGATGCCAAAGCTAGCTTGCTTAGAACTACTGCCAGTGCCTTCGCATCTACTGTGGTCTCAGTGATATTCCTTAAACAAGGAACATTAACTCAAGTTCTTGCTCTATCTTTCATTTATCTATTCGGTCAACCCCACTCTAGGCAAAGCTTTATTGAGGGGATGGTAAAACATCCTTCTCTTTCCACTTTTCAGGAGTGTGTGCTATGATCCAACAGAAAAGAATCTTTCAACTCCATCATTTTACACCAGGAGCAGCAATGAGATGTCACTGTATGGCATAAGACACATCTACTCATTCACTCAGCCTAAATTTTTCCTGTGGAAAAGGGAGCACAAGAGTTGCAATAACCTTAAGACAAAGCTTTCAGCTATGGTACACATTTAAAGAGTTAAGATGGCTGTTAGTGCTTGGCAAGAGTAGTCAACTAGTGGGGAAGACATACTCATTTCATGAATGCAAAATTCAGACTTAGTATTTCAGTGCTACATAACCCAATTCCAAAAGAAGTTCAAGTATTTGTCCTACTAAATAGAGATTATGAATGCTATGCTTGTCTACTGTTCACAATTTTAGGTAGCGGGAGAAGGTCTGACTCTTTCCTGTAAATAAGAATCACTCAATATTTCTTGATGATTTTTTTTTTTCCTTTGGTAAAACTGGCATTTCACAAGTAGCTGCTTCTCCCCTCATTCTTTACTTAAACGCCTACATATTTCAAATGATCTTCAAATCCCATCCTTTCTACGACTCAGCAGCAAAAATTCTCAAAGTAGCATGAAGTGGAAGTGACAGCACTGCAATGCAGTTTAACCTCCTTGGAGTAAAATTGGCAACAGCTTTGAAGGTATCAGATTCCTTTGCAACTTCCTAAATCCTAACTCTCAAGGTTTTTTTCCCTTTTTGAAAGAAGAACAAGGTTGGCTCCCTCCAAGACTGTTGGGAAATCATTTTTATTGCCTTAAACGCTGCAGAATTTATAAGCTGCTTTTTCACTAGTTGAGCCACGCACGCATGTTGCGCCGACAAAGTTTTAAATTTATTATGTAGAAAATTTAAAATCATTTCAAGAATTCATAAGCATGGATTATGTCAGTCTAGTATTACAGAAAATAATGTGATATGCACAAATACTGAAAAACAACTCTTAGGAGGACTTAGTATTTTATGTTATATGCTCACCTTGCATGGAAAAAAATAATCAGTCTAATTTCAAGTATCTAGCATATATAGTACTTCTAAAAATCTAGACCACTGACAGCGAAAAAAAAATCAATTCTAAATCATAGGAATTCAAAATTTTATTCTATATTTGTTAGTTCTGATTAATTTTATAAAAATCACCAGTGCCACTGAATGCCTCAAAAATGACAATTCACATTTTTAGACATAGACCACTGGAGATGCTACAGCAACAGCATCATTAACGCTCAGAATGACTTTGAAGTTAGCCCTGATTTGCACTGGAACTGGACCAAATGACTTCCAGAGGTCCCTTCTGACTAAATTCTTCTATGATTCTACAGTTTCTCCTTCATAAAGGACCATTCTAGAACAAGCTGGGGAGAGCCAACAGAAAAGAAATGTTATCAGCTCTTATTAAAGGTGACATACTCAGAAAAATTGCACTTTAGGACTCAACTGACCTAAGATCTTACCAGAGTGGTAGGAGGTCCCGCTCTCTCCTTCCTCAGCCACCCTGAGCTGCACACTGTGGCTCCATCACAACTCTCGCACCAGCTCTGGTGTTAACAGATTCTTCACTGAGCCAACTCAGCTCACTAACTAGGTTGCTAAAGCAAACAGTCTTCTGCTCAGTAAATTAAACTGGCTAAATATATGGTTGCTAGAAGCCCAGCATAGAGCAAAGATGGAGCGATTGCAGCACCTCATTTCAGCAGCAATAAACCATTAGACTGATGTCAGAAACTTAACAGTGAATTTTGTGGGAAAACCCATTTGACATACACATTGGAACAACTCATGTAAAGTATTCAGAAATCACAAAATTCACCACTACAAAGAATACACCCAAAAGGAGAATTAAAAAAAAGATTCTTAGGAAATCAAAAGATCCTAATCAAGATCTAAACAAATTATGAGTGATTAGGCTTCCAAGGGGTTAAATTGCACATATCTTATTAGTTATCACAAAAGTATATGAAGTAACTGTGGTAACAATAGTTTTCCTAAAAATAACGTTTGTGCTTTACGTATTTCCAAAGTCCCATTCTTTTACCCATCCTGGTGGGTAACACCAAACAATAGCTAAGAAGTTCCACCTATAGAGATGATGTCTCGGAGAAAGAAGCTGGATCTCTCAGTTCTGGCGCTTCTTTCACGCCTGAAAGAGCATAGCACAAATCTCAACAGGTAAAGGTTTTTACTAGAACTTCTCAGACCCAGGGAAAACTTGAAAATAGACATGTCTGGCACGAGGTTCAAACCCAGTTGCTTCACGAGAACCTAGGAACACCACATGTCTGTGACCAGTTTAATTCATGTAAACAGAGAAGAAAATAAATTAAGAAAAAAAGTGAGACGCACAAATATTTCCACTTGTTTCGGGGTTTTTTTCCTTATAGTAGTAATGGAATCATAAAACTGATTATGGAAGAAAAACAGTAACTTGCAATTTAGCATACAAGTCTTGTTCACAGTAAAGCATTACTCACTATTCCTAATGTCTTACAATACTAGGTTGATAGTTAATATAAGGCTTTAGAATTCATAGGATTACTTGCTCCATCAGGCTTTCTAAAGAAAAAGATAATGAGATTAACATGCCTGAAAAATATACTTGGTGCCAGTACACCAGGAGACTACTAATTCAGAAGACAACAGTTTTTAGGTATTCTATTATTTATGATCTCAATGTGCATATAACTATAAAAGTGATTAATTTCATTTAGTGACTGAGTTAAGAAAAAGGTCAAAGGAAAAATTATTTCTGTTCAAACAAAAAGGGGCCTTTCCTGCTGAAACCAAGCAAGACTAAATTATTTTCAGAGGCAATAAAAGCTAGGTATTTAATTTTTGAGTGGTTTTTTAATCTTTAAAAGTTTTTAGCTAACTAAAAAGATACACCCCTATTCAAGGATGACAATTAAAACTTTATTTGGAATGCAATCAACCCTAGAGAATTTAAAAAAAAACTTAAAAAACCCTTTTGCTAGCGATAATTTTACCAGTATATGTTTAGACTGGAAATAAAAGCTTGAGTTTAGCAACAAGTATCAATTCTTACTATTACGTCTAACCAGATAACAAAAATGTCCTCTTACCGTAATGCAGAGTAGACTCCCAAAGATAAAAAAGAATAGTCTGGATCATAGTACAGATAGACAGAGGACACGCAGTAGGGCAGGATATCAATTACACCAACAGCAATTATCTTCCCATCCAGCCAATACTGCTGGTGAAAAGAGCCATAGCCACATTCTGGTCCATTTGGTGCATTCTCTGCCTAAGCAAAAACAAAAGAGGGATGTAACTGTCTGACAGGAAAACTTCCGGTGTAGAAACAGTTTTAAAAAGAATTTTAACAAAAAAGTAAATACTGTGAGAAATTACTCCTGTTATCCATGTTTTGAAAAAGAAGAAGAAAAAAAAAAAAAAAGAATTTGAGAAGCAGGGAAAACAATGTTAGTTCACTGTATCATTTGTGGCCTTTGCTGTACTCGAGATCAATAAGCTTTACATATCACGCATCCCAAACACAAATCTGCAAATAGCCTCTGCCATCTAGCATTTATAGTACTGACATGACAAAACAACATGATTCATCAAGTTGTTAATGCCTTATTACATGCAGACAAATTCCGCAGATACTCTTTTAATCTGACCTATTTATTCTTCAACAAGAGACGAAGCCCAAAGGCAGACGGGTGAAACGCAGACGTTTCACTATGCTGGTGCTTCCCAAAGCAAGCTGTCACTGCCCAGTTCCTCCAACACTTTCTGTCACAGCCAGGACCCTCCTGTTTCTCTCCCCCATGTCCCCAAGTACTGGAAGCACTTTGGCCACAGAAATTCAGTTTCTCAGAGCAGCCATTAAAGTTGCTTGAGAAGAACATTTACAAGACGAACTGAACAACGTACTCTTTATGTGAGGTTTACTCTTTACGTGAGGCTTACTCTTTATGACCAACTAAACATCTTTTATCTAAGAACCTGGAACTCTGTGTTGCAACAGAACCCATGGAATTTCTTTGTCAGCCCACATCAGAGCATCTTCTGCAAAAACACTGAGGAACTCGCTATTGTTGTGCACTGTGGGTTTGGATGTGCAGTGAAGTATGTCTCCGGATGGGGTAAAGCACCTAGAGCCAAAAACTGATGCTTCAAATAAAGAAGAAAATGATCTCCTAATTTAAACTGTATTACACAACCAACTTTGGCATGCCATTTTCTCCCACGTCAAGCTTACTTTAATCCTGAATTCCACTGTGCTCAACTTAATTATCCATCTAGTCATGTTTTTCACTGCATTGCCTGATCTTCAGAAAGCTGCTTCTCACTCAATAAATCTGACAATATTGCCTACTATTACCAACTGGTTTGCATTACAACAACAGAAGGTGAGTTTAATCAAGTATTTTGATACAGTAGCGCAGACTGAAGAGATGATGGGCGGTAGAAGTTATTCTAATTGGTACCACATGTGTCAAAAGAAATCAATCACGTGAACAAAAAGATCATTTCAACTGACTTACTCAGCCAGTAAGTCCTAAAATAAAGGCCATATAATAAATTGTTTGCATTTTTATACAGTTATATAGCATAAAACTAGATATGGAGCTGCAGATACTGTAAAAGTGAAACAGTCAAACATTTGAGAGCTTAATCTGCAGTATACAAGGATATTAGGCTCGGATATTAACTTATTAAACTGGGTTTCTTCTCATTCAGGTAAAGCCTACTTATTCAACAGTTATGGTTTCATACAATCCTCTATGGATTTCTCAGCACAGGTTAAGTTCTCTTCTCAGCTACCAGGGTGCAGCCAGTGACAGAGAAAATGAAACATCTCCTGCAAGTCAAGGGGAAATGTGATTGGTAATATAACACAGACTTGCTTAAATAAGTTTCAGTTAAAACAGATTTTCTTTCTTTATCAATAACTCATCACATAGGATTTAATGAATGTTAAAAAAGATAGTCTAAGCCAACACGGAAAAGATTTTCACTCAAAGCAAAGTCTTCTGAAGTTAAATGAATGCTATGTCTACGTGTGACCCAAAACCTCCAAACAGCACTGCATGGGTTCAGTCACCAGACCTCTGCAAACTGAAGTAAGAGCATCTATTAAGAACTTCTAGTAAAGTATAAACTACAGTTCTTTCACTAATGCAATTACAATGAAATGCCATGAACATAAAAGAGCTATGCTCTATAACAAACAATAAGCACAGCACTGATCTCGGGCAAAGTATTCAGGCATCTCCATCACATTAAGCAACTAACATTTTTAAAAGGAGTAACATTTTCCTCCTCCTTCAAAAGTTTTCATACAATGTAATCCTTTGTAATGCTTGTAAGTATTGTTTTCTCCAATTTCTCAATGAATACTTGGCTCCTTTAACTTGATTTCTCATGCACCATCCAGATAATCTGACACGAAGCAGGTCTAGAATATGAAACATTTCCCTGAAGCAGGTTATACCATTTCACACTACTGACATGTCCACCCGGGACCGTGTTTGCCAAAGGTGATGTAAAATATAACCGTGACATCAGGCAAGTAAGCCCCACCAGAAAGGGCTTACATTATCTATCTGAAATCATACCTTAGCCCTGGAACCAATCCAGAGGGATCAATTTATTTAAAATGAACAATTTATACTCAAACTTCAATACAATTAATACAACCTGATGATATTGAAACAATCAAAAAAATAAGAACTAAATCCAGGACAAAAATTAAAATTAATAATTTCCTCTCCAATGTTTAGACTATAATGCAGAGCAAAATACCATATATTCAATCACATGTTAATTCTACCTTCTATTCTGCTAGCTAATGATTCTATGAACACATTTGATTGTTCATATTTCATAACGCAGTATTAGAATTTAAATATTTAATAGCAACTGGTATTACATTTTGCCCTAATTAGTATACCTCAATGTAATAACCGCTTATAACTGAACTTCAGTGATGGTGAAAGCACTTGATTTTCTTCAAAGCACATTGGTCTTTCTCTGTACTTTTAAAGAGCTGTTTCACCACTTTGTTGTTATTATTATTATTATTATTATTATTATTATTATTATTATTATTATTATTATTATTATTATGGAAATTGCACTTGTTAACTCATGTGCCAGACCAGTGTGCAACTGCAGACAGCACTGTACGCTCCCTTACCAAAAATGGGTCCTGACCTTACCAACTGCATGACTATTTTTCTCTGGAAGGTTCCATGAAATTTCCTATTTTGAACTTTTCCATTTTACCCTCTGCTGTGGGGAGGAAGATATGAAATCCATGCTATCCCTTACACAAAGGAAAAAAAAAAAAAAGCCAGGAAACCCTTGACTTCCATACACCAATAGAAATTATTTGCCAAATAAGCGAAGTGATTAATTCCAGCAGTTCCTTTCCCAAAGGCACACACACAACATACTATATAGGAGATTTCTATCTCATGGTTAGCAACATATTTCCTTTTCAATACTAAGTCCTCCTTTCATTAGGGAATAGCAGAGATGCTGTGAAAGCAGCCTACAAATATAGGTTGTGTCAGCAGAGAGGTAGCACTGCACATTTTCATGACAAAAATGCCAGCAATGCACTCTCAAAAAAAAAAAGGACAACAGCACCCTGGGCTGCACCAGGCAGAGCACTGCCAGCAGGTCGAGGGAGGTGAGCTTTCCTCTCTGCCCAGGCCTGGTGAGGCTGCATCAGCAGTGCTGGGTCCAGCGCTGGGCTCCCCAGTACAAGAGAAATACAGACTTACTGAGGCAAGACTGTAACGGCCATAAAGACAATCAAGGGGCTAGAGCATCTGCTGTGTAAGGTGAGCTTGAGAGATCTCAGATGCTTCAGCCTCAAGAACAGATGACGTGGGGAGGTTCTATCAATATTTATCAACCCGATGAGAGGGAATTAAGATAAGGGAAGCAGATTCTTCTCAGTAGCTACCAGTGACAGGACAAGAGGCAATGCATGCAACTTAAAACAGATGGAATTCAATCTGAAGGAAACAGAATTCAACTGAGAGGGTGGTCAAAGAACAGCACAGGCTGGCCAGAGAGCCTTGTGAGGTCTCCATCCTTGGAGATATCCAAAATCCTGGACAGCCTGCTCTAGCTGACCAGTTGGACTAGGTGATCTGAAGAGGTCCCTTCCAACCTGAACAATTCTGTGATTCCATATCAAAACAAAATAAATCAACTCATTGCATCAAAATGTAAGAAACTCTCTACAGAGCTAACTGCTGTACCTTGGTGGACAAGCATAGTATTCCAGCTATCCTCTCAACTATCTAATCAGGACAGTGATAGTAAGCCTAAAATGCTAAAAAGATTAGTGAAGCTGAGAAGATAGAAGGGACTTCAGTAGCAAGAGACTTTGAGCAGCACCATGTAGACACCATGGTGATGTGTACACTATAAGAAAAAAAAAAAAAAAAAAAAAAAAAAAAAAAAAAAAAAAGCAACGTGCCAAGATCTCTAAATGAAATGAGCTTTGGTTTAGTCCTGAGCAGTGCATCGAATGTGACTAAATATGACATTCTACAGAAGGTGATCCTGGGAATTACAGACCTGTTAACAGTATCATTTGTTACTAGATTTCCTAAAAAATAACACATATCCATAAACAAAATCATGCAGAGAAGAAGCTCATGTTCTTTTTCAAAGAGCAAAAATCTGGATTCACAAACATCTTTTAGTTCTTTAGAATTCAAAAGCATCTCAAATATGGATGAGAGGAAAAAGTAAGAAAAAATGATCATTTACATAATGGAAAGCAGCTCACGTTCCATTGTGCTGGATCTGTTCTGTTCCCAACACTGGTAGGTGAATCACTTAAGACCAAAAATTGTTGCATCAAACTGAGGTAGGAATCACCCTGAGGAGTCCAGATTTTCCCTGTGCCCCTCCTGCCATAAACACTCTCATCTTGGCAACAACATGGTACCAGGCCATGGTACCAGGGTTTTGGCTAAGTCATTCTCCAGTGCTGAACTGCACCTCTTCACACAAGGTCATGTTTCCCTATGTTAAGTGGCAAAATGGCAAATGTTTAAATGTAGCTTCTAAGACAAAAAGATTAATGAAATCCCCCCAAACAGTTCTCTCTACATTATCCTGTTTACGGCTAGAAAACTGCCTAGGTTTCTGCTACTACATACTGTATCATTTTTTTTTTAACTATTTATTTTTTGTGCCAGAGCCCATAGTCAAAACAGAAACTAAACAGAATAATAAAATGAGGAAATAAAAAAAAAGACAGGAAGAGTTTGGGTGTTCATTCTATTTGCAGCTAATAACAATATTAAAAATTAAAAAAATAACAAATTGAAATAATGTAATGTTTAGATTTTATTTTAAATTATTTTTGTTCAAAAGAGTAAACAGACTACACACTACTAGATTTGCTTGTGGCAACTGTTTCAGAATAAAGAATTTCAAGAATCCCTTGGCCTCTGATATACAACCCCTTTTATTTAACTTCATCTAATTGAAGACATCTGTAGTGGTGCCACACAAAATTTAATTCAAGCTCTGAAATGTCAATAAAAAGTGTCTGTAAGAAACAATACTGGTATAAACCTGGCAGGGAAGTGTGCATCAACATCTACGTAGCCATACAAAATTAAGAATATAATGGCAGTCTGCTGCCTGAGTTGACGAGGTGATAAAAGCCCTTTTCCTATAAAGTCTAATGAGCTCTATTACTCTTCAGCTTTCAGGAATGTAAAGGCCAGTGGACTCAGCAGAGAAAAGCAACAAACTCTCCACACATGGATTCATTCAAACTGCCACATATCAAATTACTAGCATAATTACTATAACCTGACAATTTCATTACAGTCATGTGGTACTTAACTCTAAGACTAACAAGAAAGACAGTGGAAGAAATCCATAGCAGTTTGCTTACTTGAAACGAAGAGACAGCCTCTCCTAAACTTTTAACTCAGACTGTAGTCAAATACAAGTTTATGAAGTTTAATAATACATTCTTTTCTTTCATAGAAATAAATCAAGAACCAAAAAGACACAGCACTTTCTGCTAGTGTCTCTTAATACAGGGATAGGAAATTCAGTGGTAGCTTATTATCCAGTTTACTGTCCTCAGACTTCTTTGAAAACACAGTGCTAACTCCCTTACCAGTGGGTGATGATACAAATACTGTGACCCCCATCTATACCACCTATACCACAATGGTTTGCTGCCTACAGAAAGTAAGAATACATTCATTTCAAAACTTGCATCTAGAATGAATACATACCTCCAGAGGAGAATCACAGAGGAATCTTGTGAACTGCATTGAGATAGATTCATCAGAAATATGTGCCCAAGACGACACGCCAAATATGCAAAGCAGAAAGAGAAAAATATTAGCAGTACTTCAGGATACAATGGGTCAAATATACTTTTTCAAAACCATATCTTTGAAAGACACTGTTAGATTTTAAGAGTTATGATAAACTTTCCATAAATTCCCACATTCTACATTGTTTAAAGTACAAATAGATGTAATAATTAACTATCCAAAGTACTTGCCTTCTATAGAAAATTTTAAATGTGATGCAAAAGAATTATCATCTTCTAATACAGATTTGTTTCTGGTGTCCTTTATTTTAAATTACACATTACCCTTCTGTGTGACTCAGCCTTTTCCCACCATTATACTGTTACCTGCCCCATCACTAAAGCAAGGGGGTTAGGGGCCTCATATCTCTTAATATAAATTAAGTCTATTTACATGCAAAATCATAAGCAAGCCTGTCTTAAGTCTAAAAAGGAGGAAGGAAAAAAAAAAAATCAACTTCCTGAAAGTGCAAACATTTTCAAAACTCAGTTCTTTACTCAATACAAAATGATGTGGTGCAGATAATCAATCAAAAAGGCAAGGTTTTAATGAGCTGGAGCTTGTTCAAGATTCTGAGTAATAAAAATGTAATAGCTATTTATTTACCATCATTCACTTATTTGATGCAAATACTTCCTTATTGGTAGATTCCACATTAAACATGTTACAAAGTTCTGGTATGTATTTAACCCTAAAACATTCCTTTCTTAAAAAACAAGTATGTGATACATGGTTTAATATCCCCTCTTATAATAGCTGGGTGATTTAATGTCAGCAGTTCCCAAACTGCAAAGTAAGAGTAAACAAGAACTTTTAATTGAAAGTTTGATAAAAATAATATATATGGCCTCCTATAAAAACCTGACCGTTGTCAAGAATTCTATGAATTTCTGACATTAAAGATTACTCTGTTTAAAGGGGGATACAAAAAATGGGTTGACAACTTGTCGGTTTCCCCATTTTTCCCAGGGAAAGGGAGGAGAGGAAGGCAGGCAACAATAAGAAGTGAATCGCTGACCTAGGACAGAGTTCCATATACAGGTTAAGTAATTAAAACTCTCTTCAGAAGGTGGTATGAAGCAGATTTTAGCAATATCTGGTAGATATAGATCAATTTGAAAACATTAACTGGACCATTCTCATGGTAGCTCAGAGTGAACACAACCTTAACCTTCTCTAAGGTTGTGTCTCTAAGTGCGTCTGTGGACGTTAAAAGAATCAGGACTTTGGCAGAAGTTGTATTTCGGACTTCTCGCCCCAAAACGCATAGCAGTAGCTGACCTATGGATGAGTGGTAAACTTCTGGACACAGACTTTATGAACAAACACTGAATTTGTATGAGGTGCTGGTGAAGAAAGGGAATTGTGCATTTCCTACAATTAGCCGTTTCAGATCTAGTCACTACCACTCTAAATTACTCAAAATTTGGAAAAACAAATGACTGATACTTTAATTAGATTACGGATTTTATTTTTTTTTTTTATTTGTCAGATAGGGAGAGAACAAGAGGAGGGGGAAAAAAACGAGATAGTACTTTTTTTCTCTTTAAGTATTTCAAAATTTGAATTGTTGACTTATGTTCCCATAAAAAAAGAACAGTGAGTTACAAATTCCTACACTGCGAGTGCATCAGTCCTTACAGCCAGTGATTTTAGTATGTGCAGGCTTCAGAAAAAAATAAAACATCTGTTATTAATTTTTATGTCAGAAGACCCCCAATAGTTCTTAATCTGTAACTTTAGCTTTATAGTGCAAGTTAAACCCTATGGGTGAGAAAACTGAGCCAACAACACTTTTCAAATAGTTTTATCCCTTCTCCAGGCTCTGCTGTACAATCCCTTGGCTTTGGGGGGTGAGGGGGGAATTTTTAAGTGTACCTGAGCATAACTGCTGCTTGCTAGGGAGTATATACTGTTACAAATATCTGTACCACTGTCTAGGGGGGGAAAAAAAAAAAATAAAAATATATCAATCTTAACTGCACTTGAATTTGTATCACAACCCTATGGGGGACAAAAAAAACATTGCAAGTCTTGTTACATATTATTTCACCTGTTGATACTTGCTAAAGATCTCAGGTTAGATCATTTTATTAATAAAGTCCTAGAAAACTTCAGAGGACTGAACCTTCTCTAGAAGTCAATTAAGAAACAATCACCCAAAAGCCCAATCATTTTTTTGTTATGGAATTGCTAGGGTTTTTTTTAAGGGAGAATTTAATTGACACAGAGCTGGAAAATTTAATAAATATTTTAGATCCACCAACCTCTGTTGTTATCTTCTCAACACTTACTCTCCCCTCCCACCCCTAAATCCACAGCACTTTCATCATAGCCTAGGAATACACATTTATTATATAACAGTTTATACATTTATTTAAACTGAAGTAAATTTAAGATTCAGTTCCTAAATTAACAAACTCACCTAATATTGCAAGATTATTATGAACACAATTCAGAAATGTTCCAATAAACCATGAAAGAAATACAGTCAAATGCTGGTGTTGCATGTAAAATAATGCAATCTGTCACACAAGCAAAATTCAAATTTGTTTCACAAAGTCATGCTTTTCTAATTTTAAGTTTAAACTGAATCACATAAACCTTAGTCTTTTAAAAACTATATAACGTATATGAAATCCACAACATTTTTACTTTGGTACAAACTATTTACAACTGCCAGAAAGAACCAACAGAACAACAGGAAATAAGTTTAAACATAATTAATAAAACTAAGAGAGGAACACATCACTGAGAATTAAATCAAAGGGGAGGGAAAGGCAAAGAAATAAAAGGAAGGTTTGGTTCAACCCAAAGGTACTTGCTCAAGTAAAAGCACATGCACAGCTTTAAAAAGCTGTAATAAAACTAGAGTGTTAACACCTGCTTCTTTTTATAGGTGGGGGAAGATATTCAGATGCCTTGGATGCTAAACCAAAATGGGTTCCACCCGGTAGGCTCAGTAACTTTCTGAAAGCAGGGGCTAGCCATGTCACACAATGACATCAAAGTCTCTCAGGAAAACACAGCTTTAAGCTCTTACCATCAGTAGTTGTAAAATTATCTGAGATTTTCAGTTTGAAGATATCATATAAAGGCATTCATTTATAATTTTCCTTTTGACAGGACTCAACTCCACTCATATTTGCAATTCACTGTCAAGCAAAACTGAGTATTTGCCCTTTTCCTTTCAGTAAAGAAGATGTGAGCAAGAAATATGGGATTTGGGCCCTGATTTTTTTTTTTTTTTTTTAAATCCAATCCCTGAATGGAATTAAAACAAACCAAGGGTGTCAGTTGCTTTGGGGTTTGTTTTTCATAAAGGTGCCAGGCTCATAATAAAAATAAGAAATAAAGTTACGACTTTCCATACAGAAGACAAGTCATACAACCTACAGTTCCAGTGTAACACCTTCATGTGTATCAAGCAAGTTTATTCTGTCTTCCCTCCCCTGCTTCCAAGGCCAACATAACGAATGCTTCCCCATCTTGGGAACTAGAAGTGACCAGACAAATATTAGTGTACCCATTAACAGAAACAAGCCACGAAAAGAAGGAACATTTCAAAATTACAATTTCAGTTCCTTTATGGAGTGAAAAAAAGTCACTGTGGCTTTGTCTGCTAAGAAACTTACTCTCAAAACAATGGAGATTTGTCAGTCTTACAGTAAAGTTTTTTAAATTTTGGATTTACGTGGAAAACTCAGTGTCAAAATCGGGAAAAACAATGTAAACTGGGATGCAAAAACAATCTGAACTGAAACGATATGACTGTGGACAAGGTACTTAATTGCCTGGTTGCCTAAATTCTTTGGCTCATATAGGCATGTCAAGAATAAAATCCATGAATCCATGGCGCTACAGTCACAAGGGCCACATGACTAAGCAGAAGGAATCAGTCTGATAGAGGAGCACTAGCTGTAAGTCTTTAAGTTCACAATATCAGTGATGCGAAACACGAGCTCACTGCAGTGAGATGTTCTGCCACGGCAGCAGCCAACCACGAAGAGCCAATCAGATTAGCACTGCCATCAACTGAAATGATAAAAGAACTAATTCAGGAGCGTTATAAAAACATACAGCTGCTGAGGCAACCTACAGAAGGTTAAAAATAACCACAGAAGCCATTGATTTTTTTTTAAGTGCTCTGTGACTAAAAAATAAAATGAAAGAAAAAGAAAGAGGAAACTAGGCTAGAGGGACGTAAAGTTTTTAACTGGCTGCTGGTATCAGCTTTCGAATTGATCAGGATATGCTCCTTGGCATTTCCCAGACTACTCACCCAGTTTTCTCTATCAGTTCAAGTGGATTTCTGGGAGGCAATTAAAAAAAAAAAAACTGGGGAAGAAAAAACCCACTATACCTATTTCAGTAATTTTTTGCACCTTTTCAAACAGTGTATCTTTTGTGTGTTTTGAAATTCTTTTCTTCCAAGACAAATATTTAGTTAAGCACAAAGCAAAGAGAGCGTCCAGCTAGCTTTGCAGAAGGAATAGAAACACACAGTATTTTTCTACAAGTTTGTCATTATAAAACACTTACGAAAAGTTAAATAAAACATTTGCTTCAGAAGGTTTAAACAGCAATAAAATGTTCACTCTTGCTCTTTCTGGAAACTACCGTAGAATTTTTATGATCTTTTATGGAAATGTTTTCTAACTTGTGTAGCTGCCACATAGCTTGTTTCAGTTACACTTCAGCTGTCTTTCTTAAAGACAAAGACTACTGTAAAAAGACAAAGCCTAAAAATCACATTAATGGACTAGATGTATTGTTTCGGTGTTTTAAACCCCTAATCATTAACTTCTCTAGAGAAGAGGCAGGAAGAAAAAAATGCTTAATTTCAAACTTCTGCATGACAATACGTGTTACGTAAAACTCAGTTTAGAATGATAGGCACTCTTTTTTTAACAGAATAACTGAGTATCGCTAAAGAACTAAACAAACTG